GAGAGATACCCAGGTGGTTAAAGATATATGCTGCCTTTCTCTGCTAATAACTAGAATCTGTCAGTCGGTAAAGGGTATAGAATGTGCTGGGGAAAGATTACAAGGGGAGCAGAAAATAACTATCCCCTCTCTCAGAGATTTTATACTTGGGACAGTTTATTACTCAAACCAAAATCCATTGCAGTCGAGTCAATTCCAACTCATAGGGACCTTATAGGACAGAGTAGAACTGACCCACGGGGTTTCCAAGGAGCAGCTGGTGAATTCGAACTGCCGACCTTTTGATTAGTAGCTTGAGCTCTTAACCACTGCGCCACCAGGGCTTCAGTTTATTATTAGGAGAGTTTATATTATTGTTATTATATAAACTTTCAGTGAGTATATTACGAAGAGAAACAATAACTAGCCAAGTGAAATGACCTAAAAGTGTAAATAACCCCCAAACATTAGAATGCATAGCCATCTACTTACGGATTTGCCTAAATTTGTAAAAAATGTGGGGTCCCAGGAAAGCCTGAGGCATCAGAGACATTTGGAGTCAGGAAGGAGGCATGCTAATGAAGGAATAAGCTTTTGAGGTATTGGGGCATGAGGCAAGAGGACTCTGGGCATGGCCGAGGCTTAGCTAAGCTCTGTGATGGTGTCCCAGGCAGCATGTACAAGGGAAAGAGCATGCACAGTCTTGGGTGGTTGCCTAATCTCTCTGAACCTTGTTTTTCTTATGAATTCAGAATAATTATAATCATAATTTCCATCTTACAATACTGTAGTGAGAATTGAGATGTGGGCTGTGAAAGTGTTTTGTAGATGATAAAGCAGAGATGATGATGAAGATGATGATGGTGAAAATGGTGACGATGATGTTTCATTGAAAGATCATGGACAAAAGCTTCTTTCTGCTCCTGTAGAAAGAAAAGGCTCCACAGTGCCCTCCCCACCACTTTAGAGGTCCTGCCTTTACATAGGCTTTGACATGTGACAAACAGAACATGGAAAGCTCTTCAGGAACCCCAGATGGAAGCAGGAACAGATACTGTCAAGGGCCCCTGTGGTCTGGGCGCAGTCTCTGTACTGCTCTCTTGATTGATTTTGTTCCTTTTTTAGGACCTTAAGGAAATTATTCATTCAAAATGAGGAAGGGATGCCTACCATATGCCTTACCCTGCCCTTAATGAGATCATAATCTAGGAACATACACACACATACATAAGCAAAACTTAGCAAGAAATTTGAGCATGGTTCTCATTAAAGGATGTACAATTGTGTTGTGTGAATTCAACCAAGTGTAAATGTCCACAGGGAACGTGAATGTGATCAGGTTCTTGAACAATTCAATGGGCATTATCAAGAAAAGACAGGGGGAGAGCATCTAGCTAGGGAGGCAGACCAAGCAGCATGGAAATAGTGAATTTGGGTTTCAAACAATCCCGGGTGCCTAGAGCTTAGTGTCTTTGGTGGGATGAGGCTAAACAAATTGGGAAGGATGACAGGGTAAAATATAGAAGGCTTTGCATGCCACACTAGAGAATTTGAACTCTGTCCTTCAGTGATGAAGAGCCATCAGTATTTTATAGGAAGATGGCTTGATCCAATGTGTATGTTAGGGAGATAGCTGGCATTTATAGAAAAAAGCATAGTAGACTATTTCCATGACTGTGGGTTTAGGAGTGAGAGAGAAAGAAGAGCCACAAGACGCAAGCAGACCAGATCCGAGAGAAATCCAGAGAAGTAATGCAACCAAAATTAGGACAGTGGGTAGGAAGGAAGAAAAGGGGACATATTTAAGAGCTATTTTAGTGGTAATACCAAGTAACAGTTCCAATGTGAAAGAGATAATCTTGAAATTTTGAGCTTGAGTTTTTAGATAATATTACATTGCTAACCAAAAGTGG